AAGGGAAGCGGAGGGGGGGGGGGGGGGGGGGGGGGGGGGGGGGGAGGTTAGGCATACAAGAGCAAGAGAGAGGAGTAGAGAATTAAACATTGGCTAGGAAACAGGAGGAGGGATCATTTTAAGGTTTAGTTACTACAATTACTGCTGTTACGGCTAATGGAAACTCATGAAGAGAATAAAAATGAAATACAGACCCTTTCACTCCTATCCAAGAATGAGTAGAAGACTCAAAACTTTTTCCTATTGTAAATACATTTTCGAGAGAATCAAATTACTTTCACTTTCCGAATAAGAGATTTAATTTCTCAACGTGGCTCATTCTCTTTAATATGGATATAAAATCACCACAAACTAAAGCCTAAACTCACCATAGATTCGAGCACCAAAGCTTCAAATCAAAAACCTTTGTTTTTCTCTTTCAGCCAAAGATTCGGGTTTGAAAATTTCAGCTTCTCCCCGTCATAAAGAAGGAAACTGAAGGATTTATAAGGGAGAAAAAGGAAAGAATAGAAAGTGTCAACCAGAAAAGCGGAGCCTTCAATACCCTAGAGAACTACAAAAACTGCTAAAATCCACACTCTTTCTATATTTACCTTTCTCCATGTACTTCCTTTCTTTATCTATTTGATTCTGCTATAACGTAAAGGAGCCAACAAACGGACAAAAAAAAAAGCATCTATATTAATTTTTTATTATAATTACTTCAACAAAACAACATCGGAAGAAAGAAAATAACAAAATCTCAGATTTTTTTACTTTTGGTTTCTTCTCTTTATAATGCAGAGAAAGATTATTTTATGCGCAGACGATAAAAAAAAAATGGCGACTTGCAGAGAAAGAGCTGACTTACTGCAACTCCAATGACGCACGCTGGTCAATGAATTCCGATTATTTTTCTTCTTTGGTTACACTTTCAAAGACCCTTCTTCGTTCTGAATTTATTGGAAAAATCGAAATCCTCATTTGGAAAAATAATTTTAGAGAATCCGGAGAAATTCTATGACGGAGACGCAATTTGCTTTGGCACGTGGCCCGCAGTGTTCCTTCTTTGTTGTTTTTTAATTTCTAAACGGCTACTTTCAATTTTGCATAGATGCATTTTTTTTATAAAGAATATTTCGAAAAAAATTCGTTTGCATTTATAGTAAACCACACATAAATTATTCACATTATTATTGTATTGTAAAATATAAAGCATACATGAATAAATTAGTCTTAAATGATCATATTATTGATTTTATAGCTCAAATTTGACGATGAATGAAAATGAGAAACGTTGTCAAATGTTTAAGGTCAACACGAAATGTAAGCAAAAAGAATTTTATGGAGAGTAGTAAATGTGAAGAGCATTCGAGAGTAATAATTTTCTGGAAACGCCACGACTTTTAAATACTTCATAGTCGAAGAATCTGCAAACTACATCTAAAAAATATTTGTAGAGATATCATTTCCACCCGCTTCACATGTAAATATATTTAAAATATTTTAGAAAATCTTCATTAATCTTTGTAAGTCTGTGACAATATCACTAAATACAAGGTTAAATATTCAAGACCTCCATCTATTGGGCTGATCAAACTTCAATACCAATATATTGAATGGTGAAAAAATATTTTCTAGTATGTTTAAAAAATATTCGAGCTTAAGTTACATTTAATCGTAAATTGGAACTGGAAAAAATGCAATATCCTTCTTAAGCCTTTGTTTGGCCCCCATTTATTTTCATTACATTATATTTCATTTTTCTCTTTCCTATCTTCAACCACACAATCTTCCAGAAAATAATATTACACGTAAATCGAAAATTTTTCCTTCTTTCTTAGCTACTCATTTTTAAAAAACAAAACACTGTTCCACCAATTTTCATATCGATAAAATGGGGGCCAAACTGGGGCTAAAATTCACCATCAAGGACAAGGGTGGAGAGAATGATATGGTTTAATTTTTAATTTTATTAATTTTTTAAATATTCAAATATTGCATTGTGATTTCTTAGTTGTTGTATTAATTAGGCTATCCATTAGGGTGTGGGAGATATGAAGCCAATAATATTCCTTAGTTTTAGGAAAGATCGTTTTTCACATTTATAACGTAAACATGAAAGAAAATGATATTTTGTATTTATCCCGGAGTTTTAAGTTTTTTGAAAACCTAACGATGGAGGTTAAGAGTGATAAGACTCACTCGAATGAGTCTACATCATTTACAAATTTTCCTAATAAAAACATGAACGTAACAATTATTATAGGGATAACTAAATCACCATATGATAAAATAGAGTAAAATAAATTGATGTGGCAAAATAAGCCAGGAAAAGATTTTTTACTATTCAATTAGTCAACACAATGTATGAGGAAACTGCTCAAATACAGCAACCGATTAACCTCACTAGCCTATGGCGATTAAAGTGAACTATGATGTTGAGCAATCCATCTCGACAGAGAAAGCTTGGTCATTATTTGCAGACGATAACGATATTAGAGCACACTCGAAGATTGTCACGATCTCAAGCCTAGTGCATCTAGTACATCAGTTTGAAGTATCGACAAATAAGATATTTTATGAATAATGTCATTTGTACAATGTTTTTTTACAACATTGTCAACAATGTTGTGTGTGTCAAAAAGGTATTGTTGGAAAAATAAATTGTTTTTTTGAATTGTTCAATGACAATGTGTCACGTGACATGTTCTTAAAATGTTGTAAAAAAATTGTACACCAAGCATGATTGATATTTTATTGCTTAATGGGTTAATAGCTGTCTCAAAAATCAAACTTGTATAGTCAATATTGTCTACTATAAATAATCTTTGAGGCCACCCGCTTGAAGTGTGCATCCGCTAAGCCCTTGTTTGATGTAGTTGAATATCATATTTTCAAGAGATTTTGATAAAAAGTTGATAAAATGTGTGGTTAATAAATTGATAGAAGCCCATGAAGTAATTGTTAAAAATGAATTTGAGGAAAGTGAGTTTTAGAATAGAGCCAAACGCGATTAAGTTTTAAGCTAAACTACGGAAATTTATTTCTTGAAAAACACAACAATTTCAGGAAACAAAACACGAAAACAAAAGCAAACAAAATACCAATGTTGTTGTTGTTATTTTATCTCCGCATCATGCACCATAATCCCCCACTCCAAAATTCAAGAATTTCAAGTAAAGGTTCTTGAAATTAATCAAGAATAACAAGAGTGGGTAAACAGCCAAGCCAGTGGGTGCCACAGAGAGAGAGAGAGACCCAATGGACATCATGGCTGATTCCAATGTTGGTTGTGCTTAATGTCGCGATGTTTGTGGTCGAGATGTACTTGAATAATT